CCCCCCCCTCTCATAATGGATGCCATTTCTTGATGTCCCACTTGTCAACCTATAGAATTTTTTTTCGTGTCATGCGGCACAGACATCTGCATACGTCATCCTCGGACCAATATTCACTGGCTTTTATTTTTGCGCACTACAGGTCCAACAGGGCGTTATGGCTGAACCAACCCAGATTGGCAGTTTTATTGGATTCGAAACGCAGGTAAAGGTCGTTTCTGGCCATCTGCTCATCGCAACAGGCCTCGAATCGCAGGCCTGCATTTGCCCCATGAGCGTAGTGTTTAGGGAGGAAAGCCCTCATTTGGCTAGAGAAAATCATGGCCCTCGCTCCCTGGTCACCTTCCTGGGGTGCGAAGTCTCAGCCCTGTAATGTCACACCCCCATATTCTCCCACTGGGGAGAGGCCCACTTCCCATTTCCCTTCCACCTTTCTTAGGGGGATCACTAACATCGCATTTGGTTTAGAGAGCGGTAGCTCAAAGAGACCTCGTTCGATGATCTGTCTCAATTTAAGTCTTCGTGAGGTCATCCCCCCATCGGGCTGTTCCGCCCCCTTTGTCTCTGGCTGCGCCGCTTGGTCCTGCTCCTTCTTTTCGGTGTGCTGTGCTGCTGAGGGGGGGTGAAAACGACTTTGGGCAACAACCAAAATTCGTTGAAAGGCCTCGGCCCATGTCAAGTGGGGAGGGGGGCCGGATGTTAGTGCGGTCCTGAGTTCGGGGCTGTTGTTCAGGAGTCCCACTAGTTCGACATACGACTTATCCCAGTATTCTTCTCTCTCCACTGGGCACTCTGATTGCAGATGCTTTAGTATCCAATCCGCCACTACTTGGATTTTCTGATCCAGGCCCATTTCCTGGGGAGGGGCGTCAGGGTCTGCCTGGTCTTGTGGGGGATCCGCCATTTCCACATCAGGGGGAGGGGGGGATGTGTCCACCTCCATCTGCTGCAGCCCAAAGGCGTCCGAGCAGAATTCGGGGGGCAGTGGTCGTGCCTCCTCATGATCCGTCTGCTCAGGCAGGGGTTTTTGTTGTGGTTGTTGTGCCTTCCCCCTCACCTGCTGTTTCAGCCGCATCCCTTGCTGGATTAAGGGATGACCCTTGGTTGCGTCTATCTCAATGCCCCCCCCTTCCCCTGATACGGCTATGCAGTTCGCAGCAGTGTCCTTTACCATGTTTTCCTTCGTGATTTCTAGCGGGGGCGAAGCAAGAGTATCCTGCAGCAACTGCTGCGTTCCTTCACTGCTCGGGGCCCGATTCCCCCCCGGGACAATGTCTCCTCCTTCCCCTAATACGGTTGTGCAGTCCGCAACAACGTTCATTACCGTATTTTCCTTCGTAATTTCTAGCGGGGGGGAAGCAAGAGTATCTCGCAGCAACTGCTGCGTTCCGTCACTGTTTTGGGCCTGATTCCCCCCCGGGACCGCCTCCTTTTCTTCTACTTGGTTAAGTTTTTTTAGGTCCCGTCCCTGATTGTCCCGGTTCCCCAGATTCTTCCCTCTATCCTTTAGGCAGGCGAAACGATTGATGTTCGCGCCTGCTGTATTTTCTTTATTTCCTAATGCTGTTTTCTGCAGCACTCTATTCCTCCTCCCAACCACCTCCCATGTTTCCTGCTTTTTGTTCTTTGCAAGGGGGGATTTTAAGTGTACTTCCAGGGCCTTGGGCGGTACCCATGTTGCAGGTGGTCGGGATCCCAGTTGTGGGTCCCCTTGCCCTTCCCAAGACCAACCGGTGACTTCCCCGCCCTTCCCATCAGGTGCATCAACATACACCCAGCCTTCATATCCGGGATCGACAGTCCGCCACTTGGATTCGTCGAAGGGGTCTTTACTCAGGCGGCCAGTGGGTTTGGCTGTGCGAGATGGGTGGCGGGAACATGCTGTGTCAGTGTATAAGTGGCCATAGGATTGGCACTTAAAGCACCACGGCCTGAGTTTGTGGGCTGTATGGATCCGATATAGCTTCCCTCCCACACAGAAGGGGATGACATCATCGATCGAGAAGATGTGGTCATCTGCAAGGTTGATGGTCAGCATGAAGTAATCATCCCTGCGAGCCATGTGGGGGGGAAGGGGGTTGATGAAGCCTACTACATCATATTTCTCAGCGAAATCCTGCACAAAAGTTGCTTGGATTTCAGCCGGAATGTGGCGGAACTCGACCCAGAAGTGTTCCCTCATCATCTGCTCCCTGAGCTCCCGGGCTGTTGCGGTTTCGGAGGGGCCCAGGGGTAGATGCGGACTTCTGATCTGTCGCAGCGGAGACACTTCCATCCGTCCATTGTGTTTTTGTCCTCCTCCGCCACACTGAGGATGGTGATGATTGAATTTGAGACGGGTTGAACAAGGAACATCTCCCGGGCCTTTAAGTTAGATCCTTTAAATGTTGCCAGACGCTCTCTGATCCATTTCCCGAAAGTGAATTTCTCTCAGAGGGAAGGAGCAGCATCCACAGCGGCCCATTTCAAGGACGCCTCAGACTGTTGTGAATAATATGGCCAGTTTTCGGACTCACATGCAGTTTTTATTGACTGCCACAGTCATGATCAGTGAATTATACCCTGACATCTAACACCCCCACTGGAGCAGACACCATCTGGGAAGAGCACTTTCTTTTCTTTTTTAACGTTTTTCTGTTCATTTTTTGGGGTCATGAAATAGTTTTCTTGTTTTTATTTCCCCTATTTTCACGCTGCCACCCACCCGTCCCCCACCCATCCCATACCTGTCACACTAATTCAAACTAATTCACATACGTGCCTAGTGGGATCTCCCTCCCGGTAGTACCTTCAACATGTGGCAGTACCTTCGACATGTGGTCTTATTTCAAGAGTGTGGAAGTCATCCTGTTGACACATTACCAGATCCGCTCTGATTCTAATGACCGGCAGGGAGGGGGAAAGGGAGTCGGTGCATGGGGGGGTGGCGTGGGGGAGGGTTACTCGGGAGTGGAGGTAAGAAACTCGCCATTCCCGCTACTGTCTCCGGAAGCTCTTGATACCTGATGGTGCGATGTATGAGGGGGAATCGACAACCACTGTAGGGGAGAGAAGCGAGGTAGTCGAGATAGAGGGTCGAGAAGGTGCGGAATAAGACCGCGCAGAATTGATCATGATCCGCACATGCGGGGGCAGTTTCCGTGATCGTGCAGTATACTTCGATCATGTTGTGCCCCCGCCATTCGGCACTGAAAAGAAGAACGTGGAGGGAGAAGGATGGGGAGGCACATTGGGAGGTGGAATGCGGGTACACCGTGGCAGCGAGGCGGGTGGCATAGAAGTGATGGAAGGTGGAGGTCGGGAAGGGGTTGTGCGGGAAGGAGAGCGGGTTATCGATATGTCGGACCATCAGGAAGTCAAGGGGACGGACGGATAATGACCGGGGACGAAGCCCGATGCCCCGGATCGGGACGTGCTCGAACTAGGGGACGGGGGGAAGGGGAGGGGGAGCGGCTTCGTTGCCTCCGTGCCGGCGTGCCCAATGCCTCTGCATGAGGGAGCTCATCTTCTTCCTTCGGCGGCTCGGGACTGGTCGGATCGTCCGGTATAGGCAGATCTAGTCCCACCGACTGCTCTAAGGGCCGCTTTCCTTCCGCTATCTCCGCCCTCCGTTGCTCAGCCGCAGGATCGTCCTCTTGTGCTTCCGCTTGGTCCGCCCCTTCTTCTGCACTCGCCCCGTCTTGTTCTTCTTCTTCGCCTTCTTCGCTCTCTTCGCTCACCGCCCCCGACTCGTGCTCGCTATACTCACTGTAGTTTTCCTCTTCTTCAGAGGTTTCCTCCTCCTCCTCTTCTTTCGCTTCTTCTTCTTCTTCTTCCGCTTCCTCTCCCGACTTCGTTCCGTGTTGGAAGAAGAGAACGTCAGTTATCCCCCTGGGATTTAGGTACTCTGCGTCTGACAGGTAGCTACCGTTCCCCCATTGATCCTCCAGACAAGCCGACCATTGCAGGTAAGGCGTCAAACTCCACGATAGAATGTGTGGCGCCGGATTCTCATCGCAGTGCGAGATGATGTCGATCGGCAGGTCGTCTAATAGCTGCGTGAAGGGAATTAAAAGCTCCCCTACGATCGTCTGTCGATGTCCGGGTGCCACTGTTCCAAAGACAAATCCTAGCAGGTCTCCTTCCACTTCGGTCCTCCAAGCTTGGATAATAAGTAGCTCCACATCTTCGTTCATGGCGCGGTGCTCGCTGTCCCGGGTCCACGTCAGCTCGATCTGGACAAGGCACAGAGAAAGAGTCAAGTAGTGTCCACACCATATCTCCCACTGCGAAGGCTTGATGAGCGGGACTACAAGTGGTCATACGCGGAAGGTAGGGAAGACAGAGGGGAGGCCGGGGGTAGAGAATCGGGAGCGGTGCATTGAGGACGCGAGAAAGGGACGAGCGCAGAAAGAGAAATTGTCGGTTGGTGCCGGAGAGTGCGGATGCTGTTGACGTCAATACTGTTAGTACTGATGACGTTCTTCCCTCGCCCCACAAGCGACTGACTCCAAGCTTCTGCCAACTCCTCGCCCCACTCTCTTAACGAGGTGAGGATGGTCGTATGCGCTCTCGGATCCACTGTACTAAGATCCCCGCTGAAGAAGACGATTATCGAAGTGCGACCGATTTCAGGCACTGAGAGCCGACGATAGGCCGATGCTTTGGCCACCACCTGCGCCCGACATGTTGAGGACCCTAAAGCGGAACTACGCCGCCGCGTGTGCATCTGCGGTGCTGAAGAACTGAGCGAATCCGAGGACGTCCGGACTGATACGAGGATGATGAACTTGCCGAATCGACGAGATGTTCCCACGTGGCGCTAACATTCGTTCACTAAGTACCTGCTCCGTAGAAAAACTCATGGCGAAGAGGAGGGAGAAGAAAGAGAATGGAGATCGTCACTCTCCCGCTCGGATTCCGAGATCGACCCAGCGGGGGAAGGGGGGGAAGAAACTGAGAGATGGCGGAGGTAGGACACGTGGGCCCAACAGAAAAAAATTCCCATAATTAAATAATCATTCTATAGTAAAATTACATTCTAAATTTCAAATTTTTATTCCATCTTAAAAAATGTCATTCTAATTTTAAAATTTTCCGTCTTACTTGAAAACTTTCATTCCAAGAATGGGTTATCCCTTCTTATTTGAACTGCATGCTAGAGATGGAATGAAAGTCTGGATGAGTTCATGAAATATTTTAATTAGACTGTCATTCTAAGTTAGGACTTTCAGTCATAAATAGGATTATTCAATCCAAATTAGAAGATATTTGTTGTAATAGAATGAAAGTTTAATTAAAACATTTCATAAACTCATCCAGACTTTCATTCCATCTTCAGCAAATAGATATAGTTGGAAGGGAAAACTCATATTTAAACGAGAATTTATCAAATAAAACTGTAAATTTTAGAATTGGACGAACATTGGAATGATAATTTATAAATATGAAGGATTATTTTTGTATGGGATGTTTTTTCAACTTTCATTTCTCGTGGGAATTTTTCTGTTTGGCGGAACTTAGGCCTCGCAGACCTACTACCGGACACCTCGGGAGTCGAGAGCAAGCCGCACTGTGTTCAGTGACACCGTTAGGACCGAGCTCAATCACTCGGAAGCACCCGTAGAATCGTGGCCCTAGTTTCCCTTGGCAAGCACATTTCCTTACCTGCACCAAGTCCCCCAATTTATACTGGGGTCGAGGGCCCGCATTCCCATTTCGGGCCTCGTAGCTCCGGACTTGTCGGCCATGGGCCAATTCGGTCATTCGCTGCTTTTTTTAGGCCAATCTCGGAAGGGCCCGTTCCATGAGGTCCAAATGGCGCTTGGCTTTGTCCTTGGCTGTCGCCCTCATGGGGCGTCGGTCTAGTGTCGTTTCATCATTCAAATTCGGTATCGAGACGCAAGATAGGTTGTTGGTTCGTAGCTAAAAGGCGAAAGTCCGATAGATTCATGCGGGGTCCCTCGATGTATGACCAAGATGTAATCCACGATATCAGGCCACTGCCGCGTGTCCTTAGCTGCGATGTTCCGTCGGAGTGTCGTTTTGATTATCTGGTTGGCATTCTCTACGAGGCCGTTCGATTGAGACATATGAGGGGTTGTATTGCGAATAGACACTCCATGTACGACCAGGTTCCTCATAACCTCCCCTCGGAATTCTGCTCATTGTCAGTAAGGATCTCCTCTATGTCCTGATGCATCCCGAGAAAGTGGTTGACATACCTCGCTATTTCCGTCGTTTGTCTTGTTCGGCACAGGTATGCCTCGATCCACTTCCAAAAGTGGTCGACGAATACCAAGAGAACTGAATACTCTGAACTATTCGGTCCAGGGGGCAGGACGATATCCATCGTATCCATGCTAACCCTCTGAAACGGCTGTTGGACTACGATGGGCACTATCGACCTAGGCGGCTGAATCGGCGCTTTGTCGGCCACACAAACATGACAATTTTTAACAATAAATTTGACATCGTCCCGAATATTGGACCAGTACCATTCGTGTTTATCGATGGTTGCCTCGGTAATCCTAACAGCGAAATGCGTCGCTGTCTCCTCATGCGCAGCTCGTACCCAGTCATACCTTACGAATGGGTGTGGTACCACCATTCAGATTTCGCTTCCGTCCGTTTTCCTTTTCTCCAACCGTCCCTCGTTCCACCTATAATCCCGTGTCCTCTCATTGGCCCGTCTCCGTTCCTCCTTAGAGAATTCTCGGAGAGAGTTTTCAACAACTGTGGTTATTAGGGTGACATCTGTTCATACCTCTGCCCGTCCAAACCGTAGGGTCTTTTCTAAAGCTTCCGACGTTGCATCCAGGAATCGAGCCTCCGTTGGAATCTTGTCGGTACGGCACAGGTGGCAAAGCCACGATTTCATAGGATTCCTATACTGGATACACGACCCGTGGGCTCTTGGTACGCACTTACTAGCACATTCTACCCATTCGACGTAACCCTCATTGTGTTCCTTAACTGAAATGGATTGGACCCGCGAGATGGACTCACAGAGAAGACAACTTGAAAAACGATCGGGTAAGGAAAACAAAGAAGAGGAGGAAGGAGAGAGACGACCCTCAGCGTATCTTTCCCCTTGGGCCGCCATGGGGACACATGTCACTTCTTCGTCTGTCGAGGGAGAACCTTCACCTGCCCGTACCCGGGTCCCTTTGGCTGCTCCGGTTCCTTCCACGGAGTAACCTCCTCGGCGCATGGCACCTTTCCTGGCCTGTGCAGACGTGTCAACCCGTCCACATTCCCATGCCTCTTTGTCTTTCGATGGACGATATCGAAATCATACTCATGCAGCCTCACTGCCCATCGCCCAATCATTCTAGTATAATTCGTCAGCTTTTTTAGAGCCAACAAGAGTTCATGATCCGTTACGAGGAGGAACTTTCGCCCGTAGAGGTACGGGTGGAAGTGTTGAATTCCCCAAACCACCGGGTAGCATTCCCCTTGAGGTGCTGAGTCGTTCCTTCTCTCATCCGACACCGTCCGCGAAGCGTATTTGACCACGTGTTCCCGCCCATTCTCCCCTTTCTGTGCTAGGATAGCGGAGATCACTTCAGGCTGCCAGTCAGTACTGAGTAGGAACTGGCGTTCGGGATCGGGCCAGATCAAAATAGTCGCCGAGGCCAGGGCGTCCTTCAAAGTGGAAAAGGCCCGTTCGCACTCCGCGTCCCAGTTCAGCGGCTGGTCCTTCCGTAGGAGGTTCGTCAGAGGCCGAGCGATTGCTACGAATCCATTGATAAACCGCCGGTAGTACGAAGCCAGTCCCAGGAAGGCTCGAACTTGCGTCAATGATGTGGGTGTGGGTGCTTCCCAAACTGCCTCGACTTTCCTCGAGTCCAGTTTCAAGCCTCCTCGGGTCACCACGTAGCCTAGGAACGAGATCTCGGACAGGAAAAATTCGCTCTTCTCTAGTGCAATCTTGAAACCAGCATCCCGTAGCGCGTCAAGTGTCCATTCAATGTGTTGCGCGTGTCAATGGAACGATTCAGAATACACCAAAATGTCATTCATTTACACGATGACGCAAAAATTTATCATTCCCTGAGTTAACCTGGTCTTGTTCACGAAGTTCTGGAAGGTGACATTCATTGCCCTCTGAAAGGTCGCCGGTGCATTGCATATACCCATAGGACAACGAATCCACTGCCACGTGCCCTCAAACAATACAAAGTTTACGCCGTTTTCGACCGATCCGCTTCCCGTACAAGGATATGGTGGAACCCGTGCCAAATATCAAACTTACTAAAATAGTTAGCACACCCAATTGCATCCAGCAAATCATCAATCCGAGGGAGGGGATATACATCCTTGATCGTGATATCATTCAATGTTCGATAACCGATGCATATACGAATCTATCCATTCCTCTTTGGGACCAAAACTACCGGGAAAGACCAAGGACCCGTAGCGGGCTCTATCCAACCGTTATCTTCGAACTCACGGATGCGCTCGAGTGCTGTCTTCCGTTCCGCCAGCGAGTACCGATAAGGCTTGCAATGAATCGGCGAGTGGGCGTCGATCTGAATCTCATGCTGGATTATCAAAGATAATCCTATAACCGTGTCATCAACGTTGATAGCACCCCGGTACTTCGTTAGGATCTCTGCTATGAGTTTATAGGTTTCGTCGGGAACGTATTCTGGCACGTGTAATTCGTAGGGTTGTTTGTGAATGACGACCGTAACGTGTTTGGTGCGTATTGCTTTTGAATCCCGGGGCGGCGAGGAAGAGATGAAAGAATTGTCTGATCGTCACGAGAACACAGTGGTCACCATCTGAGCTTCCTCTTCTCGGATGGCCACATGTTCCTCGGGGATTATCCCGTCCGCAATGTCCCAGGGGTCCACCGATTTTTCAGCGATCTTTATTCCGACGTCAAACAGCGAGGCTTCGGGACACCCAGGGGGTTCCGGAACCTGTATCTCCGCCCCTAGACGCAGCAACCGTATCTCCTTTTCCATGGTGAGAAGCAGTCGGGGAGGTGACTTTGTAACGTCGCAGAAGCACCGTTTGTCCACGTATCGGGGAAGTAACGGGGTAGTGCCCTCGTACAAGGTCCGAGGGGGTTCCGAAGAATCGGGCAGCCTCAACACTTGTACTAGGGGTTCTCCTATAAACAGAGCCCGGGTTCGTTAAGCATTCTCTTCGGTAAGTACGAATGTCTTCATCATTTTCTGTCGGACTGGGTAACTAACTATCTTACGTGTTAGTTATTGGATCACCAGGTCTGTTTCGTCGTCGTTTTCTGAATCTTCGGGAAGCGACGACGCTTGTTCTTCGCTAGTCGTCTCCGAATCGACTTCTTTTTCTGCCCATGTGATCGTTCGGATCGACCCGATCAGATGGTCCTTACGTGTCACGCCTGTCGTCGTGCGGAGGGTGAGGCGCATAGGAGGGTGAGGCGCATAGGAGGGTGAGGCGCATAGGAGGGTGAGGCGCATAGGGATGGTGGATGGGTTGCCACCGGTGTTCCTAAGAACCACTACCCGTCGCTCGAAGTCCAGGTTGGCTTGAAGGGCATTGAGAGCGGGAAGTCCGATAAGCACATCGTATGAGGTTACATTGAGTACCACCACATCTCCCAAGGCGTGGACTTTTCGTAGCTGGAAAGCGACATTTGCCATTCTACCAACCGCTCTGATTTTTTCCTCATCTGCGGAGATCAGTCGGTCTCCCTCGTTGAGTGGAATCACATGTTTCTTATTCCCGCCCGTTGGACTAGTCGCAGGGATATGGCCAACACGGCTGCTCCAGAATCCAGAATTGCACTGTAGGGGACTCCCCAGATTTCCACGTCACATTCTGCGGATTTCCACGGGATGGCTTTAATACGTAGGAAGTGATTGCTTTTCTGGATGAGCCCCAGATGTACGGATTTCGAAGTTCCTGGTACGTCTGGTTTTGTCTCTTTTGCGGGAGACTTTCCTTTGGTCGCTGCCAGCTTGGTGAGTGCAAATCTTTTTCGATTGGCCTTGCAATGCTGGAGCATACGATCGTTGGCTTATTCGGATATGGACAACAAGTGTCCAATCGGGAGCGGGATGCGGCGATCTAAGGCTCGGACGATGTCGAGCACATCGATCTTTCCAGTGATGAACTCAGGGCCACCGGATTCCATCTCACCGGGGGATGGTCGCCACTCCGAGATCTCTCGTTCGTCATCCGCCGGCTGGATCGCCCCTATCATACCCAACCCCGGATATCCCAAGGAGAGGAACTGATCGAGTGGGATGAGCTCCGCGGCCTCATCAATAGCAACTATTGTCGGTACTGCTCCATCAATTTCCTTTACTACCGTCCCCACCCGTCTAGGTCCGTTAGCCAGGGGGGCGGCCGCTGCTGGGGCTGCCCCTATTCGTACTTGTCGCTGGGGACAGTCTCTTGCCATGTGGTTGGGTTGATGGCACTCGTAACACGCGTCAGTTCGGGGAATCGTGCCCACACCAGCCCCCGTGGCTACAGAGGCAGGCGCTCCAGCAGGAAGGGGGGCGGTGCGAACCTTAATGGGACGCATGGAGCGCATCAACGATTCCATTTGGGCGTTATACTCGCGCTGCTCCTTCTTGCTTTCGTGCACAAGGCTGACTAACGTACGCGTGAGGTCCAGTATCGTGTTCGATTCGTCCGCCTTCCCCGTGGGGGCGGGTATCTGTGTCGGCGCCCTTGTCGCTAAGGGTCCCGCTCCCTGATCAAGAGGAGGTCGCTGAGTTGCCACCTGTTCCAGGTAGGTGACTGGTCCTGATACAAAGCCCATATTTTTAAATTTGTGCTGAAGTGCGGCTAATTCCATCTTTGCTCTGGTTAGTTCCGTGGAATCCCCTTCTTTAGCGTGGTCATCTCCTTCGAGGAAGCTGGCAGCGAACTTTCGCTCCATCTCCTCGGCTGCGTCCATGATCTGTGTCATGGTAAAGGTAATGGGGGAAAACTGTTTTCGGAGCTTGGCCCGTATTGCTCTGCTTCAGAGCCCGTCTATGAAGAAATCCCTTCCTACATTTTCGTCTCTTTGGGATTTTACGAACAATCGGTAAAATCGACTGCAATATTCTGCAATAGATTCGAGGGGCTTCTGTACTCGGTCTTTGATCATGAAGAACGCTTGCTCCGGGTGAATGTAGTCGAATCTATGGAGGAAATCTCTCTCAAAGGTAGGGAGGTCAATCCATACGTAGGTGTTGAACCAGTGGTGGGCATCACCCCCTAATCGGGCTGGGATATTAATTCTCGCCTCGTCGTTATCGTACTGCTGTGCTCAGAGAGTGGCAAGCCATGCTCCTGCCAAATGGTGGGTCAGGTCGAACAGATATAGATCAGGCGGGCCCACCGGAGCGCGGACACGTGCAAGCTGAGGGGCGGGCTGGGAGGCGAGTACTGGGCCACCACCTGCCCCTCCCTGTGCCTGGTGAGTCTGCGCTTGATTAGCGTTGGCCTGATTGACATTCATGTTATCGGCTGATATGACGACAGACCGGCCTCTTGTTACACTAGGTTCACGTGCCGACGCGTTCCCTGACGCAGACCGTCCCCTTTTTGGGTCGCCAGGTCGGTTGAACTAAGAGAGTCGAGCCACTTGTCAATCCCTGGTCTTGACACGTGTCGGCTCCGATACCAACCTTACGCCGAGCGCGACTTCCTGTTCCGGAGTGTTAGTGCGCCTGAAAGTGCGAAAAGGGGTGTGCCAAGGATTTTAGGAACGTGGGGGCGGAGTTCCAGGTCGGAACTGGAATCTCCTGTGTCAAGTTTCAGGGGGTAGAAGTGCAAGTGTCTCTTCTGGGCTCAGGGTTGGGGCGATGGCCGATCGTGCGGCCTGGGCCGGGGTGGGGTATTACGGGTGTCTCTGTGGGAATGCTCGTACCGCTGCCGACGGTTGCAAGCTTCAAAGTCCGACGAAGACAAATTGGGTTCTCGTCGCTTGGTCCCCGGGTGGGTTCATTGCGTGACCCTCGCCTGTCGATACTCGCCGGGCTGCCGACACTCCAAGCACGGTGGAAGGGGCCAGAACCGAGCTATGGAATCCCAGGGGATCACGAGTAACCTATGGTAAGGGAGGACGGTATAGCAGGGAGGGAAGTCCGTAGTGATGGCAATGAAGCCTGGGGTTAGAAGATATTGCTGGTTTCAGCTGTCAGGATAATCGAGAATTCGCGGGTCTCAGTTGATGGCCAGCTGGAAATCGCCCCGGCACAGTCGCTCGTTTTCAGTTCGACAGGGGTACTCAAGGTGCTCAGGGTTCCGTAAGTGGCAATGTTGTCGGATCCGCTGCCGTCGGATTTGTTCTCTTTCCCAATACGTTCGTTATTTTGGGTCTCTCAGGCTTTCTCGATCGGTGATCCAGAAAGGAAATTCTATCGCCATGTCTCGTTCAACGGAATCCATGCACACACGTCTTTGTAGGGGCAAGGGGGGGGGGGCAAGATCGCAACTGGTTTTTGCAGACGTGCATGTAGATGGCAAGTCCGCGGACGGGCCGCTGCCTTACACGTGCGTGCGCACCGGCAAGTTGATCAGATCCTAAACTGCGCAAATGAGCAAGGAGCGATCTATCGGCTGAACCATGCAGCTGGTTCCCTCAGGCAATCAACCTCGTTCCCATACCGTCATGCATCAAAGGAAAAGATTATTGGACATTCACAAAGCATACACACCTGGCAATTCCCGTAATCATTCATAAATCAGAAGTTGGAGAGTGGGCAAGCCGTGCGCAGTGGGTACGTCCGGCTAGATCGGGGCGGGGCAAGATTCGCAGACATATACACATGTGTTAGCGATGGGTACTAGAAAGTGACGAAATTTGGATTAACCTAACGCTATTGATAAAAAAGGCAACTCGAAAGAAAGGATGCAAGCTCATTCATCACCATTCATGCATACATACATACATATAGCAAAAAGATCCGAGACAATTCACCCAAGAAATTCCAAAAATGCCGCAACAAAATTAACCAACATTGAAATCAAAATTTGTACAGACAGCAGGGAGAATAGACACTGTTCCACCATATCCCCATCTCTCTCTCTCTCTCTCTCTCTCTCTCTCTCTCTCTCTGATGTGTATAAGAGACAGCGC